AGAGTTCCTCGAAGAAACATCGCGCATGTATCCATACATTCAGTTACGTTGTATTTATCGCCAAGATACATCACCTTGGCAATATTGTCCATCGTTAATTTTGCCCGTCCCAAATAAAAGAATTGCAAAAATTCCTTAAATTCCGTGGCGTTAGCGTCGGGAATTACAACGTCGATTTTTTCTTTCCATGAATCACTGAACATCGCTCGAAAAACATCGCTAACGCTGCCGAGAAGCAATTTGTGGACGGGAATGCGTTCATCTTTTCCGTCGGCTGACTTACAAATAAAATGGAAATCGGCCGTATCTTTGTTTAAATATAATTGTTCACCAACTGATAAAATACCCTTAATAGCGTAGTCGTTCAATGTGCTTGACATGGCGGCCGAAATTCCTTTTATTGAAACCAAATTAATTGTTCTCTCGCTGAAAGGACGAGGTTATCTGAAATAAAAGAGAAAACAAAACATTAAATAATCACGCAGTTTGTGACTCATTTCTTCTTCTTCTTCTTATTCTTCCTAATCTTAATTTCTTACATTCGATAAACAATTGTTACTGTGATACCAAACTGTTTCAGATTAAATGTCGCTGATGTGACTGAGAAAATATGAAAAAACTTAGTTAATTGAAAAATGTTGAAAAGTAAATAAAATTTCGCTGCTTAAATCGTACTTGTTTTGCTTCGTGTCTCTTCTTGTAATATGATCTTCTTGATTTGATTTCTCTTTCGTTTTTCATAAATTTCTTCGTTTTTTTTCGAATGAATTGCGAAGAATGCTTATTATTCTATATTATTATATAATTTGTTTAAAAAATACAGTTAGAAAATTGAATTTCATCACATTTAACCAAAAAGACCGCAAAATAGTTTCAAACGTCATTGTTCAGCAGAATTTTTGACATTTGAAGTGCATATCAGACAATCAACTTATGTTGACAGTACGTGGTTTGAATAGTCAAAATTCAAATAATCGTGAGTTTTGTTGACAGTAATTTCCGGCTTTATGGCATCATCATAGAAGAAGGAGTGTAAAATGTACCAATGCACACATATGTACAAAGTCACGGAATTGAAAAAAATGTCTAGAAAATTTACAAAAAAAAAAAATCAATCGTTGAAACAGTTGAAACCAAATTCTTAAAAAATGAAAATAAAATAAATTTGAAACATTCCAACGAATGTCCAATTCAAATTTGAAATAAATATCGGCTGTCTAACGAATTGAGTGGAACTGTCAAAAGTATTTGTGTACAGATTTTGCCTTCTCCCACAATGACATTTAAAACATTATTGCGTTTGTTATTGATGTATGATTCAGTCTGTATCTTTCTACTGTGATTGTTTGGTTGAGATTTTTTATTGCATTTTTGGCGCTCTAATTACGTTTGTAATCGCAACCAGAGATTTTTTTTAGAAATAACTATCACCCAAAAGAACAAAACAAAAGCGGATCAAAGAAACGTTTTAAATGATCAATGATCATATTACAGCTCGATAAACACAAGTACATTTCAAGCAATTCACTTTCATATTTTGTTTAACTTTTTCATCGTAATTTTTTATATTTTCTAAGATTTATTGAGTGAGCGTTCCATCGTCACGAAAGCCAATCGAAGCAAGTTTGTCTGGTGTAACCGAAAATTTAAAGGTAAGAATTTCGAGAAAGGAAATAAAACTATGTGATTCATCATTAGTTCCTCCTCTATTTCAGTGGCTCGTTGATATCAACGAGATTTGGTTTTAATTCGGCATCTTGATTCCGTGAACGAATTTCGGCAATCCATTAGCCATGTCAACCAAAACTCTCGAATATGCGATCAAAGGTATTTTATTAACCGGCCAAGATTTGTATTTGAGTGAAATAATGGCCGATTTCCACTTCATTTGTAAGTCATCCGATGAGTCCGATGAGCGTATTCCGGTGCACAAATTGCTCTTGGCCGGTATCAGCGATGTTTTCCGAGCAATGTTCCATGGATGGAAAGAGAAAGTCGATGTTGTGCTTCCCGATGCCACAGCCGCCGAATTCAAGGAATTTTTACAATTCTTCTACTTGGGACGGGCAAAATTGACAATGGACAACATAGCCAAGGTTATGTACCTTGGAGACAAATACAACGTCACCGAATGTATTAATGCATGTGTAAAATTTCTGCGCCAAACTCTTACCGACGACAACTATTGCTGTGGCTTCTGGCTTGCCATTCTCTACAATCAAAGCGATTTAAAACGATTCTGTGAGCTGATGATTGCCATCAATACGAAAGCTGTTTTTTCATCGGCCAGTTTTTTGCAATGCGACAAAGACGTGCTGGGCCACATTTTGCGAATGGACACACTGACTTGTTCGGAATCAAAAGTCTTTCGAGCGTGCATGGAATGGGTGAAAAGTACTAGTGGAGCGACCGAACTGACAAGATCCATTGTTCAAAAGTGTCTCGGCCATTTATTTTACGAGTTTTCCTTCAAATCGATGACACCACAACAGTTTGCCAGACTTGTTCCATCATATGGCCGCATATTTTCGGTTGAAGAATACAGTGATATCACTCAATCGACAGCGATTCAACATTTCAAGCCAAATATCTTCAAACAAACACCTCGAACTACAAATCTTTATTTCGATGACATGGAAAAGATAGAATGTGATCGACTGGTCGCATTGGACTTTTCACGGAGTCCGTATTGTATCAAAAGTATTGAAACGACCGTTTTTTCCGTCAATGAACCACTGCTTCTAAGGCAAATCGAGTTCAGCCAAGTGGGCGAATTTAAATCGAATGAATACTGTGCCATCGTCAAATTGTCGACCGAAATAAAAATCGTACAATTGACAAAATCAGCATCTTCTAACGTAGAACTTAGTCTGTACGAAGGGAATACGTACTTGAAATCGGAACTCACTTATATGACTTTGTCGAAGCCAATTCTTATTAGGCCGGGAGTCATGTATGAAATTCAAATGAAACAAACACCAATACAGAACTTCTGCACAGGAAACATTCTAAAGACCGAGGTTCAAATGGAATCGAACATCATTGTACAGTTTCATCGCGATCCGATCGTGGGAAATGATATTGTCGCCAGAGGAATGATTCGCAAACTTGAATTCTATCGATTTTAAATATTACCAACTAAACGAGTCTTTGTCATCAAACGCAATTAAATATATAATAAGTTTTTGGTTTGAAAATCATTCCAATGATATCAATTTCATTTTTTAAACAATTTATAAAAGAAAGAAATAGTACTGAATAAAGCAAAACCATTTTTAAGAGAAAAGAAATCATTTTGAGGCACATTTTTTTTAACTTGCAATTTTATTTTCTCATTCGGTTTTTTGTAGAACGTCTGCGAATTTTACTCAAACGAAATTCCATTTTATGTTTGAATTTTCGCTCCAATGTCGACTACGCTGTTGGTTTGTTATTGTTTACACTTGAATGTGTGTTGTCTGCTTTTCATTATGATTGTATTAGTGAGCTCTAGTTATATGTGTGCAACTTGTTGAATTGTTTCTTCTGGTGTGGCGACAAACGGATATTCAGTGAATTAAGATTTGACGTGCTACTGTATAAAGGTAAGGTGTCAAAATTCTATTTTGTCAAATTGTGTGATTTATTCGGATTCACAAAGTCCCGGTGCTTGAAATTTGTGATTTTTCTAATTTAATTTCGATTTTATATTAATTAACGATGTCTGAACCGAGCTCCAAGGATACAGTACTCAAAACAGCCATGGTTTACGTTTGTGGCGGTAAGATTTTACAAATCATAATTTAATGAAATTGTTTTACACAAACATTGGTGTAATTAGCATACGAATGTTTTCTGAATTGTTTTAAACTACGTAGGTTGCTCCATAATTTTTTTTAAAATGGTACTTATAGTGTTGCCCGATGTAAACCATTGTCATATTCGTAAAGTTTGATGTTTTGGTATGTATTCGTGCCCTGAACCTTTTGTCGTACGAACGCTATTTGTATTGTTTACAGTGACTGGTAAACTGCGACTCAACAAAAAAATGAATTTTACACGTGAAGATTTTCGTAAAATGATTTACTACGATTTTCGAAGTAAATTATCTCAACAACAGTGTTTCGATCGACTTCATTTGGCCTTTGGCAATGAAGCACCAACCCTTCAGACAATTTATAACTGGTACCGAGAATTCCGTTGCGGTCGTAGTTCGCTCAAAGACGAGTTTCATACAGGTCGTCCAAAATCAGCTGTTGTGCCACAAAACATCGATGCTGTCAGAAAACTGATTATGGAAGATCGTCATGTGACCTACCGTGAGATTGAGGCATCTTTGGGCATTTCATCCCACAGCATACATACAATTTTGCATGAACATTTAGCTGTAAAAAAGATTTGCTCTCGTTGGATCCCACATAAATTGACCGATGAACAAAAAATGGCTCGTGTGAGTTGGTGTAAAGAAATGCTCAAGAAATTCAATCGTGGTGCTTCAAAAGACGTTAATAAAATCGTCACTGGTGACGAATCGTGGATATATGCCTATGAGCCCGAAACGAAACAGCAGTCGACTGTATGGGTCTTCCAAAATGAAGATAACCCAACGAAAGTTGTTCGAGCAAGAAGCACTTCGAAGCGAATGGTCGCCTGTTTTTTCGGGAGAAGTGGTCATGTGGCAACCGTTCCACTAGAGGATCGTAAGACCGTCAATTCTGATTGGTATACCACCATTTGTTTGCCCGAAGTGTTTGGTGAAATAAGAAAAAACAACCACCGTCGCAAAATAATTCTTCATCACGATAATGCGAGCTCTCACACATCTTTTCAAACTACTCGATTTTTGACCGGTCAAAACATCGAACTGATGGGTCATCCACCGTACAGTCCTGACCTGGCACCCAATGACTTTTTTTTGTTCCCAAGCGTGAAGAAAAAACTACGTGGTCAACGATTTTCGACACCAGAAGAAGCAGTTGAAGCGTTCAAAACACACGTTTTGGAGATATCACTTTCGGAGTGGCACGAATGCTATGACAAATGGTTTCATCGAATGCAAAAGTGTATCGATCATCTCGGGGAATATTTTGAAAAACAATAAAACCATTTTCGACAAAAAACAACTGTGTTATATATGTTTTTAAAAAAAATTATGGAGCAACCCTCGTATCTGTATCTGTATCTTTTAATCGATTTGTATTTTTCAATGCCAATGCTGTTTTTTGTTGTTGCCAGAATGTCACTGCGAAAACGAGATGCGACCAAAAGATGCAATTCGGTGCCGTGAATGTGGTTATCGGATCATGTACAAAAAACGTACAAAGCGATGTAAGTATATGCAGGAATAGTTGAGGAATAATACTTTATTCCTTTTTTAAATGCAGAAACATAACTTTTTTTGTATATATACGGTTTAATGTTTTTTTTTCAGTGATTGTGTTCGACGCCCGCTAATCAAAACACAAATGGATGGATTAATGTAATTTCTCTTACTAGACTTAAAATGCAATCGGATCAATAAAGTTTGAAATTACAAATTGAACGTTTTTTTTGTTACATTTTGTTTGGTTTTTTGTCAAGTTCAAGGTTGAAATATAAATGCAAATACAGATGTAATAGCAGATGTAAATAGTCTTTTATACGAAACTGTGAAAATAATTCGACTAATAAAATGTAGCTGTTTCGGTAGAATCCACTGATAATGACAAGCATGCTTATGCATATATGCCGCTTTGTCATAGACGTCTTTCATAATATATGATAACGTTATATATGATGAGTTTCGACAGAAACGGAACTAACATCAAATCGTACAGAATTTTACTTTTCCGCACACATAGTGTAAGGTGAAAAGTATTGTAATCGGTCAAAATTTTGAAAACTTCAGAAACATGTTTTCTGGACGTTTCTGAGGTCAGAGAACCCGAATCAGGCCGTTTTGAGCATGGTTTATGTTAATCTGTACGTCGTACGTTGTACGTCGTACGCAAAATTTGTTAGCAAGATTGCGCTCATCGTAGAAACTTAATTCAAAATCTGACTTTACAGGATGATTGGGGGTCCCGAGGAATAGAAATCATTAGCTTTTGAGCGACTTTGGTTGATGGAAAAAAATGTCATGCCTGTAGTGATACCTATGAAAAAGAGTCCAATTTTCGCGAATTTTCGTCCAGAAGTCATACTTAATGTGGACTTAAACACTCAAAAATATGTATTGGGGGGTTTTTTGGCACGAGAAAACCGAAATCGACGTTAGTTTTGAGATACAATCAATTTTTGATACAGTTTCCTTAAAAAAATCACAAAAAAATTGAATTTTTGTATGGAAGCCATGCCTGTATGCTACCTTAATTACGTGAAACTTTGCACAGTCTATTTTTTACACAAAAAAATAACATTCCAAAAGTTTGAAGATATTTCAATTAAAATTAGGGGTACCTCCCATACAAAATTTCCAATTATTGGCTCAAAAACGAATATTTTGTATGGGAGGTACTCTTAATTTTGGTTGAAATTTCTCCAAACCCTCCGAATGTTATTTTTTTGTGAAAAAAATAACCTGTACAAAGTTTTACGCCATTAAGGTAGAATACAGTCATGGCTCCCATACAAAAATCCAAATTTTTTGTGACTTTTGTTATGAAAAGTGTTTCAAAAATAATTTTTATGGCAAAATTAACGTCAGACATGTTTTTTATAGTGTTTTATAAGAAAATAGAATACTTTCAAATGTCGTACAAATGGGTTCAACATGAAAGTGTGAAAAATCTTTTGCGAGTACTTCTGCTATTAAATTAAAAACCTTTACGCCGCTTGAATGGTTTGAAAAATCGAACAAATGTTATTTTGAACTTTCTTAATAAAATACGCAACTACCACCGTGCGGAAAAGTTCGTCTTACTCCCGTAAGACTCTTTATTTTAATACTCGCATTCAATTTGATGCGCGGAACATTTGTGTGAAGCAGACGTTTAGATTTTGTTCAATATTTTTCAAGTCACAGATTTTCGGTAAATTATTTGGTGAAAGCTTAATTCCAACGTTGTTAAACTTCAATATAAGCAAATTAGTTTGGTGTTGGCGGGAATTTGAAAGTAAAAACCGGTTGAGGCGTATTATAATCCCCATTTCTCCAGAATAAGAGTGTTGTTGCAACCAATGTCGGCGGTCATGTCAAGCACATCCTTCAATTACGCGATCAATGGCATTTCATCAACGCGTGAAAATTTATATTTGAACGAGAAGTTTTCCGATTTTAACTTTATTTGCAAATCAGCCGATGGATTGGATGAAATTATTCCGGTTCACAAATCCTTTTTGGCGAGCGTAAGCGATGTGTTCGATGTGATGTTCAGTGATACATGGAAAGGGAATGTGGCCGTTGTGATTCCTGATGCAACATCCGCTGAATTCAAGGAATTTTTACAATTCTTTTACTTAAGACGTGCAACATTAACAACGGACAACATCGAAAGAGTCATGTATCTCGGAGACAAATACAATGTGTCAGAATGTATGAATGCGTGTGTAAAATTTCTTCATCGAATTCTTACCGAAGACAATATTTGTTGGGGCTACAGTCTTGCCATTCTCTACAATCAAAATGATTTGAAACGATTCTGTGAACTGATAATCGCCAGCAAAACAAGAGCAGTTTTTTCATCGGTCAGTTTTCTGGAATGCAACGAAGAAGCACTTGGTCACATTTTAAAAATTGACCCATTGTCTTGTTCTGAAGTGGAAGTATTTGAAACATGTATGGAATGGGTAAAAAGGACTAGTGGGGCGGCCGAACTGACAAGAGAAATCATTCAAACGTATCTTGGTGATTTGATTTACGAAATTCGCTTCAAATCGATGACACTACAACAATTTGCAACTCTCATTCCATCGTATGGCGGTTTATTCTCAGCAGATGATTACAGAGAAATTATTCTATTGATTTCGAAATCATATTCTTTTGAACGATCCAGATTCAGCCAAAATTACCGAATTCCATTTGAAAGTCTTCAGTTTTGTGAAATGGGAAGGATCGAATGTGACCGCTCATTTCCAAACGAGTTTTCACGTATTCCTTATTACCTCCAAAGCATCGAAAAGACCACATTCACCGTCAACCAACCGATGTTGTTGCACCTAATCGTGTGCAGCCAAATAGCCGAATATAGAAACAATGACTACTATCCTATAGATAGTCTATCAGCTAAAATGAAAATTGTTGAAATCACTCAATATTCTCCATACAATGGGAAAATTGTTTTTTATACTGAAGATATTCGTCTGCAATCTTTGAATACATCGAAAATAAAATTGCCCACGCCAATCCTAATCAGACCCGGAATTACGTATGAAATTCAAATGGAACAAACACCATCACCGAATTGCTGCACTGGCACTATGCTGAAGACTGAGGTTCAAATGGAATCGGACTTTACTGCACAGTTTTATGGCGATTCGATCGTTGGCATTGATGGCGTTGCAAGAGGATTGATTCGATATCTTGAATTCTATCGAATTTAAATATATTTTTAAAATGATCGAAGATAAGATTTTTTTAAATCACAAAATTACTATTTAAATGTCACTTGATTGTAATTTCATTTGCTAATCTGTAGAAATTTCATTCAATTGATTGTAGCTGTCAAAAATTTTCGGAGAATTTATTTGTTATTGTTCAATACAAATATACACAATACACAATATTGTGTGTAGCCGGCATTCAATCGTTTTAGTATAAAAACATCAAATACTCACACAGTATGAAAATATATTTAGTATTAGTGGACGATTACACGGACACAGTATAAACAATAAACTAGATTTTTTGCGATTTATACTTTGTTTATATCAAAACGACATACATAGAATATATACAGGGTGTCTCATATAAATGGGCCACTACTGAGGGCATAAATTCCGATTTTTTCTTCTGTTGGTATAATTTTTAAAAATCTGCTCTGATTTAGGAAATAAATTTCTACGAATTTCTATCGGAGTAGATTTTTGAAAACTATACCAACAAAAGAGAAAAATGAAATTTATACCCTCAGTAGAGGTTCACTTATATGAGACACCCTGTATATTGATTCTATTCGAATGATAACGATCCTTCGGACGAAAAATCTTTAGCGATGTCGAATTTAAGAAATGCATAACATTCACTTTGGATTCACTTTGAATGATAAAAATTAAACGAAAACCATCTTGGTCGATTGTTGAGCGCTTTTTTCTACTTTGGATTGAACGAAATAACATCTTATATTTAAATTTTTCCGCACATATTTTGATTACACGTTCGTGGCGTGTGATAGATTAGAGGAACAAAGTAAGAATATTAATCAAGCCCTAAAACTTTCGGACGATTCATTTGTTGTTATCAATTGGACGATTACACAGGCTCAGTATAAACAATACACTGAGATTTCTATTAGACACTGTCTAGTAGTATGACATACTAATACGACTTACATTGATCATTGTATTTGATACATTCGGATGAAAAATCCACAGTTACATGAGCCGATTTTATGAAGCAGTCGTTCTTTTTTTGTTTTCTTCAACATTTTTTACATCAGGTTTGTTTGTATTTTTATTAAATTATTGAGTGAGCATTTACAATTACAAATCTCAGCGTCTGATGTTAACAGAATTGTTGTTTTTTGAATTTTGGAATAAAGAATTTTGATATGTCCTATTCTCCAAAAAAGGAGTGTGAATATTCATTAATTTTTCTCTAATTTCAGAAAAATAGTGTTTTTGAAAACCATTTTCATCAGTCATGTCAAGCATATCGAACGATTACGCGACCAATGGCATTTTATCAATTGGTAAAACATTATATTTGAACGAGAAGTTTTCCGATCTTCGCTTTATTTTCAACTCATCCGATAGATGTGATGAAATTATTCCGGTTCACAAATCCTTTTTGGCAGCCGTAAGCAATAAGTTTGATAATTTGTTCAGTGATTCATGGAAAGGGAAAGTGGACGTTGTGATTCCTGACGCAACAGCCGCTGAATTCAGGGAATTTTTACAATTCTTTTACTTGGAACGGGCAACATTAACAATGGACAACATTAAAAAAGTCATGTGCTTCGGAAAGGAATACAATGTGCCAGAATGTATGAATGCGTGTGTAAAATTTCTGCAACGAAATCTGACCGAAGACAATATTTGTTGGGGCTACGATCTTGCCATTTCTTATGATCAAATTGCTTTGCAACGATTTTGCAAAATAGTGATCGCGATCAATACAGAAAAGGTTTTTTCATCGGCCAGTTTTCTCACATGCAAAAAAGAGACGCTTGGCAATATTTTGGAAATGGAATCGTTGTCTTGTTCCGAAGCGGAAGTGTTTAAGGCATGCATGAGATGGGTAAAAAGATAGGGGCAATTCACTTAAAAATTGCCTTTCTATTATTTAATAATTGTTATTGATTCTTTTTCGATTATTTGTCGATTATTTTAAATTAGATCTATTCTTTTCTTTTATGATTCTCCCCTAGGTAAAAAATGTCAGTAAAAATAAATTGACAAGAGAAATCATTCAAGTTCACCTCGGTGAATTATTTTTCAAAATTCGCTTCAACTCGATGACATTACATCAGTTTGCCGATCTCATTCGAAACAATATGTACGGTGGCTTATTTTTAGCAGATGAATACAGAGAAATTGTTCAATCGATTGCGAAACAATATAATTTTAATCCAACCATTTTCAACCAAAATCATAGAATTCCGTTTGAAAATCTGCCTTTTTCGGAAATGATCAAATGCGATCGCTTATTGTCACTCGATTTTGCACGGACTCCGTATTACATCAAAAGTGTTGAAAAGACCCAATTTTCCATCAATCATCCGATGCTGTTGAAACAGATTGAATGCAGCATAATAAGCATTTATGCATCGAATCAATACTATCCTGTTGAGGATCTGCAAACTGAATTGGAAATCATTCAAGTTTCTGTAGCGGCTCCTGGTGGCGACAAAGTCGTTCTTCATCGTGGAAATTATCATCTGACTAATTTTTGTGCAAGAAATATAACTTTGACGAAGCCGATCCTTGTGAGACCGGGTTTTTTGTATGAAATTCAGCTGAAACAAAGTCCACCACCAAACTGTAGCACTGGTGACATCCTGAAGTTGAAAGTTCAACTCGATTCGAACATTAACGTACAGTTTCATCATGATTCATACATGAAAATTGATAAAGTTGCAAGAGGAGTCGTTCGAAAACTTGGGTTCCATCGTATTTAAAACTGATAACGAGCTATCTTCAAAACAAAATAAAGTCCGAAAATGGGGATACAAACAATTTCAATATTCCGTCATTATCTAAATCAGTCGACCAATTCGACAATTCAAATAGTTGCATTAATCTCTGCGATTTCCAAATAGATTAGAATATAAGTGAACAAGTCAAAAATGTTTAATGAGAGCAATTATGCGGGTCTATTTCATATTATCGGCTTACAATTTATGTGTTGAAAAAAAATGATTCAAAAATGAAATAAAATATTTTTTATAAAATTCTGACTTATTTTCCATTCTATCAATATTTGAACTTAATTTTTTGAATTTTTCTCAACTGTTAATCTGTTGAAAATTCAACTATGGTGGTCTAGATTATGGGTAACTAAAAAATTCCAAAAATCATATAAAATTTTAACAAAAACAAAATACAAAACCCAACGATTTGTTTATTGATTGTCAGAACTTTTAATAAACTGAATGCATTTCGGTCGCATTACTGTGCAGCCATCATCAACGAAACACGCTGTTACACTTTAAAAAAAATTCAAAAAATTCAAAAAAACATCAAATAAGCAGTAGCGAAAAACAATGTATACGTGTGAGAAAAGCGGAGTTGTTAAACTAACAAAAAAACTTAAATGTTAACACTTTTGAATTTTCACAATTGACGTTTGCATTGGCACTTCAAAACTTCAGGAGTCAGAATTTGCGATAAAAACAACATAAATGTCGTTTGTAATCCTAATGAAGAATACACGTTTAGCATTATTAAACTCGATAAAATGCAATCTTGTGTACAATCCCTCTAGCGACTTTATCCCTTTCTCCGATCGGATCGCGATAAAACTGTATCAAAATATTCGATTCCAATTGAACTTCGGTCTTGAGAATGTTGCCGGTGCAGTAGTTTGGCGGTGGTGTTTGTTTTAGTTGAATTTCATACATAAAGCCCGGTCTAACAAGTTTTGTCTTCGAAAAATTTATATATGTAAGTTCAGATTTCAAGTGAAATTTCTTATCATGAAGAATGATTTCTTCGTCAGAAGATTCCGATTCGCTAACTTGAACGATTTTTATTTCAGTCGACAAGCCGTCTATGGGAAAGTAATCATTTGACTTGTATTCACATACTTGGCTGCATACAATTTGCTGCAACACCATCGGTTGGTTCACCGAAAATACAGTCTTCTCAATATGTTTGATGTAATATGGGCTCGTTGAAAAATTTAACGCCATTAGGCGGTCGCATACAATTTTTTCGCTTTCATTGAACTGAAATTTTTTAAATGATGTTCTCAGTGTTTGTTTGAATGCATTCGGTTCAAAGTGTGATAATGCAGTCAATTGAACAATTTCTCTGTACTCATCTGATGAGAATAAACGGCCATAGATTGAAGCAAGATAGCCAAATTGCTGTGGTTTTATTGATTTGAAGCGAATTTTGTAAATCAAATCACCAAGATACGTTTGAATGATTTCTCTTGTCAATTCTTCCAGTTCCAATCCACAAGCACTTTTTACCTAGGGGAGAATCACAAAAGAAAAGAATAGAATTAATCGAAAATAATCGACAAATAATCGAAAAAGAATCTTTAAATGAATTGCCCCTAGCTTTTTACCCATTCCATACATGCTTCAAATACATCTACTTCGGAACAAGATAGTGAATCCATTTTCAAAATATGCTCTAGCGCATCTTTGCTGCATTCCAGAAAACTGGCCGATGAAAAAACTGCTCTTGTTTTGCTGGCGATTATCAGTTCACAGAATCGTTTCAACTCGTTTTGATTGTAGAGAATGGCAAGACTGTAGCCAAAACAAATATTGTCTTCGGTAAGAATTCGATGCAGAAATTTTACACACGCATTCATACATTCGGGCACAATGTATTTGTTTCCGAGATACATGACTCTTTCGATGTTGTCCGTTGTTAATTTTGCCCGTTCCAAGTAGAAGAATTGTAAAAATTCCCTGAATTCAGCGGCCGTTGCATCAGGAATCACAACGTTCACTTTTCCTTTCCATGTATCACTGAACATCACATCGAACACATCGCTTACGCTCGCCAAAAAGGATTTGTGAACCGGAATAATTTCATCCAATCCATCGGCTGATTTGCAAATAAAGCTAAAATCGGAAAACTTCTCGTTCAAATATAGTGTTTTACCAGTTGTTAAAATACCATTGATCGCGTAATCGTACGATTTGGATGACATGATTATTGATCGAAATTTATTCACAAAACCAAATTAAAAATTCTCTCTGAAATAAAAAAAAGTATATTTTTATTATCATTTTTTTTCTTCTTCTTCCTCTTCTTATTCTTCAACCTATAAAATATCTGACCTTGAATTTTGATCGACACAAGAAAATTTACTCTGACCAAAGTTAGATTTTGCTTATTTATTTAGGTCTCACTCAACAACTCTGGAAAAAATATGAAAGAAAATTTGACGTTGAGGTATATTCTCGTTATTAAGTTTTGTAAAGGTTTTGAATATAAACTACATTATACTTGTTTTGCTTTGTGTATGTCGTTGGTGATCAATGATCCTTAAAAATTCGGTTTGATTTCATTTAACTTTAGTTTTTTCTATAAATTGTTTCGCTTGGTTGTGATCACTTATGAAGCATGACATCAAATGTAAAAATTTAAATTAAAAGATCACACAAAATGTCGCGCTTTAACAATCGAGATGTGTGGTTTAACAGGTAAGCAAATCGAATTGAACAACAAAAAACCCGCAAAAAGTAATAAAACTGTCATTTATCCAGAAAGCAGGTAGAAATGAATGGATTTGACATTTTCCGTTCATATTAGACAATAGACACTCATTCAAATTGGAATCGATTTGAATATCGTGGAATGGACATTTCAACTTCTTTCTAAATTTCGAGTTTGCCTAACCAAAGGCTTATGTCAAATACGTATCTATGTATGCGTGTATCGGTTGTTCGTGTTTTGACAGTGTCATGTAGCCGGTAGATCAGATTAGAAATGTCATGATTATTTCATCAATTGTGAAATAGGTTTTTTATAAAATTAATTTTTAAAATTAATAACAATATAAAGACATTCTTCGGCAGCCAGGCTCAGGTATTTTCAAGAATTTTTATTCAAAATTTATAATAATTTATTTTGTGTTCTTTTCCATCAGTAATTCAGAAGAACTGTTTCGTCACTCATAGGAAGAAATGAGTCAATCGCGTGATTTTAGAGAATTTATGCAACCGGTTGCTGGTTCATCGTATGGCGAAAATTCACCGAAATTATTCAAATTGAATATCGATTGTTTTGAAACAATATTCGACTATTTGTCATTGACGGATTTACATTCATTCGGTCAAACGTGTACGAGAATGCAAAAGGTGGCCGGTACATATTTCAACCAGAATTACTCAAGTGCCAATCATTCATGGTGTATCAATGGAATTCATACAAATTGGATTGCAACGTGGGCATTCAATCAATTTGTGCCAAGCATTTCTATCGACCAGTTCCATTACAACTTGGATATCAACAAATGCAATGCAATAAATCGCATTCATCTCTACGATTTACGATTAGATCAGAATAAAATTAAACGATTCAAACGAATCTTGGACCGTGTGGAAACGTTCCAATTCAATCGCTGTGCTGTTGATGACTTTTATGACTTGATATTGAAACACTGTACAAATTTAAAACGATTGTATGTTCAACGGAATACTTCAATTTACCCAGAAGAAAGTAGATACACTTGGTTGCAATACGAATATCCTACTCTTGAGCATCTGGAATTCATACCGTCATCAGATGATGCACATGTTTTTGAACTGAACATATTTTTCATGCTTAATAAAAGCGTTCAAAGATTTTCGACTAGTGAACATTTCTTATGGAACAATCGTCTAATGTTTTTAAATTTTGACGCAAAATTGGACATATTGGAAATTAAAGAAAATAATGTCTTTAATAGAAACAACAGTCCGGAAAGCGGTACATTGTTTTGGAAGTTATTAAACCAACTGTACAATCAAGGTTTTTATAAACGTCTGTATTATTGTATCGATAATGACATTGATAAGGGTCTCAGCATGGAATTGAGTGCGGTCAAAGGTCTTGAGTCATTGCAGTTTTTCACATTTATTGATGTGAGTATTTGCAATGGTTTAGCTCAACTCACCAATCTAAGGGAATTAAGGATTAAAACATCGAATAACATCGATATGGACATTTTAGCCCGTGGTCTTGTGAAACTTGAACGTCTTTGCATTGAAGGAACCATTAATGATATTATACCATTTATTCGTCGATCGACAATATTGAAGAAAATCAATTTGTTGCAGAAATGCCAAATGAATCAATTGTTTGAGAATGTAGATTGCAAAACTTTTAATTTGGTGAAATTGAACGCAGAGCGTGCCAGACTGCCGGGAGCACAAAAAGTGATCATTCATGTAAGCGAGGATCTATACTTGAAAACGAAATGGTCGGCAAGAAACGGTGACACTGACTTGAGCGTAATAGAGTTGCGACGAGCTGATTCGTATCAATGGGATCCCTATTTTTCAGTTGAACGTTCAAAAGCATTCCTGTTACAAAAAATATCCCAAAATAGTTCATTTTATGTTTTCGACTTGCAATCGTTTTAAGTCGATTGAATTTTCCAAGTAATTCCGGAAAAATTATATCATTTTTACCAAATTCAAACAATGACAAAAAAATCTCTATTTTTTTTAACAAAATACTGTATGTAAAAGATTTTAATTTTTAGTCGATATTTAGCTTAAGTTAGATATAATTGTATTCGTCGGATTTTATTTACTTTTCACATATATTTAGATTAATATTTTCAAATACAGAACGAAGAGTGTCAAAAGACGGCATTTGTCTATTCTTTCAAACAAGTTATTAGACAGTCGATACGAACACACAGATGGGTGTCAACTATCTAAATAGACAAATCAAAAGTGACATAAAATGTCATCTGTCATTCTAGTGTGTTATCAATAAATAAAATACATATCAACAGTCTCACAGGTTTTTTTTAACTTTTCCTTTATCTCATTTCACATCAAATATTTTCTGTATATTTTCCAACTTTTCAGGACAAACTGTGGATTTAGGAAAATCAAAATACTTCGATCGGACGACTAAAAATGAGCCACAAAGAGTGTAGTACAGCTACGCCGTGCAGCATTAAAGTGAATCAGTTATCTCAATTGGATCTAAGTCTGAATCAAATGTCTCTTGCCGCTCAATCTATCGAAAAACAACCATCTCCGATTGAACCATCGTTGTTACCGGCCATTTTTAGTCTTCATGTCGACTGTTTTTTCGAAATATTTGAATATTTGGGCCTGAAAGACTTGCATTCGTTCGGTAAAACATGCAAGCAAATGCACAAAGTGGCCGGTGAATATTTTATGGAAAATTACTCGGCTGTGAAAAATGTATGCGAGCTCGATAGAATCCATACATGTTTTGTGGATAAAAATGGGCGTATTAACAAATCCATTCAAACATCGAATTTTCTACAATACATGCCGATCCTTTCAATTCGTGGCCCAATCATCCATTCACTATACTACCTTTGTTCGCGCACCAAAGATTGTGTATCAACCATTCATATATGTTTTATCGATGGCCATCTATCTATTGAACACAATTTCATCAAAAACATATTCCATCCACAAATAGAAACAATTCAATCACAAAATGTCCGTATTTCAGGCGATTTTCACGAATTGGCTCTGAAGTTTTGTACGAACTTGAAGCGGTTATATTTACAACGAACATCATTTGATGACCATCACTACACATGGCTATTGAATGACTATCCAAATCTTTTGCACTTGGAAATAACACCAATAGTACCATTTCACGCCAATGGATTGAATAATTTTTTTACACGTAATGCAAATGTACAGCGTTTTTCGACTACGCCACAAATGCTATGGCATAATAAAGATACGTTTCTAAATTCAACCGCAACATTGGACACATTTGAAATTAAGGAGTTTGAGTGTTACGGAAATAACATTGAGTCGATTTGGTGCTTGTTGAATCAACTGTACAAAAAGGGGTTCTATAAGAGGGTTTTTATTTATATAAAATCCATTGACGCTCATCGCTGTACTCAATTGGCTTCGGTTGATGGTCTGGATTTACTGTGTATTCAATGGTTTTCAACGGGATTCAATTTATCGATTTTTAGCAATTTGAAAGAACTAATCATTTTGGATCGATTGTACGCTGTTGACATAGAGCATTTGGCAAGGAGTTTGGCGACATTGGAACGCCTTTATGTGAAGGATGCAAGCATTGATGATATTGTGCCATTCATTCGTCTGTCACCGACATTGAAAAAAATGAAAGTGATACCAAGAGATAGAAAGAGCTTCAACGGTGCCATGTTGGACATAGCGAAGCTAAACAAAGAACGAGCTGAGTTGACAGGAGCCAGGAAATTAACGATTTATACAAGGGACGATGTGTTTTTGACCACTAAATGGAACACCAAAGATGGCAACATCGACCAAAGCTTTCTTAAAATTAGACGAATGGATTCGTATGAATGGGAACATCAATATTGTGATACATATTTTATTGGAAAAAATTGAAATTGTTGAAGAATTTTTTTTATACTTTTGAATTTTAATTTTAGTTGAACCGAAAATTAAATTGACATTTTTTATGAACAAAAAAAAAATTAAAACTTATTTGATTGGCCACACATCGCATGAAAAATGTATAAAAGAAGAAATTAATTAGCTGTCGTGACTCATAACTCGTGAGTAACGATTTCGTGCTCTGAATGCAGTTCTCAAAAAGTATAAAAGGAATGGACGGACTTCACTTTCTAATCAGATGAGAGTGTATACTTTTTTTTGCTTTGATAAACATTTTTAATATTTGTATAAAAAAATTCCACATCTTCAGAGATTCGTGCACTTTTGTAAGTAAATAATAATTCCCAAATAAGTGTAATAAGATGAACCAAAATATTTACGAAAAATCCGGAATATGTATTTAATTTTTGTGAAGTTACAAATTAAAAAAAAATCATAGCAAATTCTCATAATTTGTGATCTCAAAATACTCGTGATCCACATTAAATAATTTGGTTTCATTTACATTTACTAAATCCACATCTCAAGAGCAATAAATTTCATTCTCTATTCAGATAGTGTATTTTTCCTACCGGAGAGCGTTTAACATTATCATCAACTTTAAACATATTTGTAAGTAGTCCAGTATTATTGATAATGGTCGTTACCACTTTTTCAAAATGATTTCACTGATTATGTTCGTTAAAATAGAAAAATGAACATTGCATTTAATTATTTCGAAAGGCCATTTATGTTTTTTTTTACTAAATGGCTACAGTAAATTATGTTGTGGATTTAATTCGTTGAAATTGATTGGAATTGGTGGAATATTCGGCTTTTATTATTTAAAGTGAATGCACAAAATCAATTCTTATTAAATTTGGCTAATTTGTTAAAATCCCTAAAACATTTGTCATTGATTCTTTGTAATATCTCGTGATCGATTATATTGTTTTAAGTTTTTTTGCTGCAAAAATTCATATTCGATATCGGTATCGTAAATAAGTTTACTTATGTGATAAAAGTTGTTGGAACTCATCGTGTGCCATTAAAAATTCATTTATTGCTTGTATTAAATTATTGATACAAAGCAGTATATTGTGTAACGAGTGGGTTTCAGTTTTCAAAATTAAGAACAAAAAAGATCTCTTTTCACTTAAAACGTTAATGTTTTCATTTTTTTTTTCACCGATATTAGAAATAAGTGATGTTGTTATTTTCGCTTCATACAATAGTATACTAGAGTCTTTTGTTTAAAATTAAACATTAGATTAAATATCAAAGTTTTATCTATGGCTATAAAAAGTGATACATAAAACTGTAGCTGAATTCTAATATATACAAAATATAAATCAGTTTTATAGTCACATTTATTACTTGAGC